ATAGACGTTTTTATATCGTCATCCGATATATCGTTATATCGAACAGCCCTACCTGGATCTATAATTCTCCTCTGAGGACTTTTCCTCCTGCCTGGCAGCTCTGTCTTCAACATCCTTTGAGATGCTTTGGACATGTGCAGAGGTGAGATAGTGGATATACTGGACAGTTTTGTCAGTAACACATTCAACCTGAATTGTCCCCCCTAGCACTCATTTCTAATCCTCTTCCTCCTGGTTACTCCCAGTGAAAATTGTAGCACCTTCAGCTCTGCTACCTCCAGCTCAGTCGCATTTATTTATTATGTATTTGGTATAAGTATTATATGTTCTCTATATAATTTATTTGTTAGTTTATATAATTAAAAAGCATTCTGATTGAGTTCCACACTTGATATGGTGCATTTCATTTTATCACTTTCTTTTCTCTACAGGCTCAAGAACCCATATATTAGAGATTTAAAGCATTCACGCGACAAAACCAGCATTTCTTCCCCCACAAACCACTGCTACATGGCACTACAGTACATGATATGTCTCACCTCCTCCAATATGCCAGCCATGATGGGATCAGAGTCTTTCCTTTGCTGCAGCTGTTTCTCCAGGGCTTTCACACTGACACCGGCCTGCTTTTTCATGAAAAGTATATCAAAAGTTACTTTTCACTGTTAGCAACAAACACAAAAAAACAGTCTGAACTAAAAAAAAAATATCAAAATCCCTGTCATCTGATATTACTTTTAATCTGTCAGTTTCACTTTGTTTTAGTTGAAGTCTGTTGCCAGTAGCAACCAGTTACTGCACAGTTAAACAGAAGTTTGTTTTGTGTTACTTTATTTAGGATTTGTGAATATGTTTTTTGCTGCAATTAGTTAATTGCTTACGTATCCAGGGCTCTATCTGACAACACCTCCTTTGGGAGTGACCAAATTTAACACCAATCATCATCATCATCATTTTGTGTCATTGGTGAATTGTGACTAAAAGGTTTTTTTTTTTTTAATCTATCGAAAAAGTCTACCACATCACTGAAAGAAACCTATTTGATATAAGAACAGTAAACTTTCTTCGTAGCAAAGAGATCAGACCTGTGGAGCCTGGGTACGGGTCTGGACAGCAGGAGAAGGTTTCTGGACAACTGCTGGAGAGACACTGGTTTGAACTGGATGCACTGGAGCTGATACACATTTGGAACAACAGACAACATGCATTTGCAATTAAAATTCCAAGAGGACCTTTGTAAGAAAAACTACAACATAAATTTACATACATTAAATACAACAACTTTCTTACCTAAAATAGCTGCTGGTTTGCTGGCTAAAGAAGGAGGGGCATTTAAACTACTGGAAGTCGTGGCAACCGTTTTGGACAGTGGGGAGTTAAAGGAGAAAGGAGGTTGTGTAGTCTCCACTGTTGAAAATCTTTGGAAAAAGCAGACCAATTTTTAAACATATAGGCAAAAATCGACATCTTAGGACTAATACTGTGAAAAACAAACACGTGATAGTTCAGTACCTGTCATTTAGATTCAGTTTCACTGCAGACTGGGACGCAGGGGTGGCAAGAGTCTGAGGAGTTAGACCTGGTGCTGCAGATGGTTTAGCAAGACTCTGAGGAGTTAGACCTGGTGCTGCAGATGGTTTAGCAAGACTCTGAGGAGTTAGACCTGGTGCTGCTGATGGTTTGACAGAAAGGTTGTTGAAAGAAAAAGCTGAAGGTGCAGAGGGAGTGTCAGAGGGAGGTTTTGAAGCAAAAGAGAAGCCGGATGACCCTGAGCCAAAAGGTGCAGAACCCCCCAGGGAGAAAGCTGAAGGGCCTGAAGTGGAGCAGGTAGTTGGGATGGAGAAAGTGAAGCCTGATGCTGCCGATGACACAGGAGCTTTTGGAACAATGCTGAATGGTGCAGCGGCAGAAGAAGTAGCAGGGGATGGAGAACTGGAAGCAGCTGCTGGAGTAAGACCAAGGCTTGGAAATGCTGCTGGGGCAGATGGGATTGAGGCAGCAATTTTGGGTGGTTGGGTTGCTAAAGAGCCTGTGAAAGAACAAAAACAAACAAACAAAGATTACTTTTATTTGATCTCATCACATTTTAAGCAGAGTTTTGTCTACAAGCACAAGCTTCTACTAGTAAAAAAAAAAAGTGGAAAGGTGAAAAAACATTTTTAAAATCACATTTCTGACAGTTTTTAAAGGTATCTGCAGAAATGACCCCTTTACGAGTGATCCAGACTGAACCAAAAAAAAAAAAAAAAGCTGTTCATAGAATAGAAGGCACTTGAGAATGAAGTAAAAGCTCACTGCATGGTAAAAACAGTTGGTCACATTTAACAAATGTCAGTGAACATCATGTGGAAAACAACCAAAAAAAATTAGAGAAATGAACTCTTTACTAAATATTACTAGAACCAACAATACACTACACAGCTGCTATATTAGGTACAGCCTGCTAATCCAGGGTAGGACCTTTTTTGCCTTTAAAATTACTTTTATCTTTTTTTTTTTAATTTTTTTTTTAGAAAAGGATGCCAGAAAAATTCCTCAGATTTTGGCCCATATTATTAAAATGACAAAAATCACACAGTTGCAGCAGATTTGTCAAATCATGATGCAAACCCTCCACATCCCAATGGTAAAATACTGGACTGAGTCTCTCCTGGTGACTGTAAATTCCATTTGAGTACATGAACTCAAGAGATCAGATGAAATCAGGTGGAGATTATCTGAGCTTTGTCACATGGAACTTTGTTTGCTGGAAGCAGCCAGCAGATGATGGCTGTACTGTGGTAATAAAGAGATGAACTGGGTTGAGAACTACTCAAATTCCAACACTCCCATCTGAATATTGGAGCAAAACTTAAGACTAAGACAACATTTTTTCCGATCTTTTATTGTCCTATTTTGGCGAGTCTGTGTGAATTGTAGGCTCAGTATCTCAGCTGACAGGGCTGGCAAGCGCCATGACCTTCTGCTGCTGTAGTCTATCTGCGTCAAGGTTCAACATGTGCATTCAGAGATGCTCTTCTGCATATTTTTGGTTATAATAAGCAGTTATTGCTGCTTTCCTATCAGCTCGCAGTAGTTTAGCCATTCTCCTCCAACCTCTGGCATCAACAAGGCATTTTCACCCAGACAACTGCTGCTCATTTTGCCTTTTTTTTGCATCATCTGAGAGACGGTTGTGTGTCAAAATCCCAGTAGAACAGGAGTTTCTGAAAAACTCAGACCAGCCCAACACGCATCAACAACCATGCCCTGTTCAAAGTCACTGAAATCACTTTTTCTTCCTCATTCTGATGCTCAATATGTCTACATGCCTAAATGCACTGAGTTGCTGCCATGTGATGACTTGTGTTCAGTTGCTTTTTAAGTGGTTGTATGAACACAGTTTAAGGCTATCAAACATTTAAAGACATAAAAAAGACATCAGAATTAACAAGAGGGATATATTCAGAAAATTTGCTTCCTTAAAGATTATTTAACATAAAAAAGAATGCTGTACTCACAAATGTACATTGATTAGTGTGTAATTATGTCTTCCAACAAACGGGTGCATTCTCATAAACTTCAAATTAATCCATCAAAATACGTAGGAGCGGGCACTGGTTTGTGGAAGTCTGTGTTCCCTGACATTTTGGCAGAGCTGTGCATAGAGACAAATCTATGTGCATTTCAGCCACATACACAGTATGTTATAAGTTACTTTAATTAAAAAACAACCAAAAAAAAACAGCACAAATAGTCATTTCAAATCCCCAAAGGAGGAGCTGTAACAATTCAAACACTATGCAATCAACACATTATCTATTAGGACATTGAGGAAATATTTTAGGCAAACATCGTTCCAATTCACAGGTTTTCTTACCAGGTTTGGGAAGTCTTTCCCCTTCCAAGGCCAGGTTAGAAGGAGCCACGACTAGCTGCTTAACCCCTGGATTGAGGTTGAGTAGAGCAAATGGACAAAGTAATCCCTCTGTGGAAAGCATTAGCATTGTGGGCGCTGGGGGCAAGGTCTTCTCATCAGCTTTATGGGAGTGGAAAGATTGGATATAAACAAAGTCAGACATTGAGCAGTTTTCCACACAATATATTTAAAAGTTTTAAGAACATTTGAGTATTAAGACAGTAGGTTCGCGCTATAGTTATCTGACTGAAGTTGGAGCTTTACGCCCTCTAGTGGTTAAAAAAAAGTATCTAGTCTTCATTTCAAAAAGATACTCCAGTCAGTTCCAGAGACGACTGTCCTAAGATTCGTAATTCTGTAAAAGACTAAGATGCCTTTCTCTTCTCGCCAAACCCTCACACCCACTTTCTTGCCCTTTCCAAAGCCTTGCAGTATGCTGTGGGCTGCAGAGAAAATGGCAAATCATGTCTAAACCACCATTCAAATAATGAAACTGACTATTCACGACACAAATTAAAGATGCATTAGTCAGAGTTGATACTAGTCATTTCAGAAATGCCAAAAAAGTACACTGAACACACAGTCCTCTTTGTTTTCTCTATGACCACGTTTTATATCTAAAAATACTGTGTTTATCAAGTATAACCGTTCATGAGTGCATGAAAAGGGTTACTTTTTCTGACTGTGTTATTAATATCCACCGACTTTGCACCTATTTGACCCATGAGCTACATGCATGATAATCAGTGTCAATGTACACACACAAATACACACCCACACTGACAAATAAAATGCCAAGAAATACACTTGAAGAAGCGGTGCGATTTAAAGTTTTAGACAAAAAGAAAGCATACACCCCCACCCCACCCCAAAAAACTGTATCTAATGCTTTTCTGTTATGAAACTAAAGTTTGAAAGCTTTAGAGATGCAAGCAGAGAGGGGGTGAGAGGGAGCGAACAGACGGGAGAGGCACACGGTAAACCTCATCAGCATTCTGCAACAGGATTGTCTGGGCTTTGTTGTTTGTTATGGTCCTCTAGCTTGTGTGAGCCATTTTAATGAGTGCATTTTTCCCTACAGATAACTCCCTCCTACTCTCCCTTTGCTTTTCCAACCTAATGTCTAACTTTAGATCAAGGTTTTGATCAGACTACAATCATGTCATAATGTTGCTCAAATTGCAGGGTTTTTTTCCCCCGTAATGGGGAGGGAGGGAATCGTAGAGCGAACAGGAAGAGATGTGACTAGACAGCAACAGCAGCTCTACGTGAATGTCTGGCAGACTGGGCCAGTTAAGATAAAACAGTGTACTGAGACGATAGCTTATCACTATTCTTTACACATGCTGCAATACAGCACTGCGGTGAATGCTGTATGCACACAGAAACCTGACGGATTTAAGCTTCACTGGCTCATTAGGGGACTTCTCACCAGAAAACATTTTAAAGTTGAAACAAAGGCAAGGGAATGCGCTACAAGAGATAACACCGACTAAATTAAATTAAACTAAACTTAAAAATGACCAAATTAACTTTTGTCTGGTGGCAGAGGAGACGTGCACCGTCGCCTATCTTTAGAGCGTGGTAAGAGGGCTGAATGATGTTTTTCACACCGCAGCTGTCTGATTCTTTAACAAGAGACTGTCACTATGTGTCTTGGTGAAGAAGAAAAAAAGAATTAGAAACTATGCGCCCACCACAGTCAACCAAATATAATGCGCCTGTCTCTGCTAAAAGAAATTCACTCGACACTAACACGAGCCTCTGTGTTTTGCTGACTTATGGTGCGATCAAGTCATTAATTCCTCTTCCATCTATTTCCACAGTTTTCTGCTGACACACAAGTTAGAAGACAGCTCACTACTGATCACCAGATTCACAGCGTAAACACAATAAATCCATGGTGAGCACTAACACTGCACTGCTTCGCCAGTGTTCAAAATGCTGCATTACTTTTCCCACACAATCCACACGTTTTTCCAACAGTGTCGATCCAAATTCTTAGAAGCTTTGACTACCATGATAGAAAATGTCAAAATCGTGATCCATGATTATTCACTAAACTTATCCTTAATGATATTTATAAATCTCACTGTGTTGGGTCTCATTTCTAGCACCAGCACTGTGAAAGGTGTACATCTACGTGGCAAGGTGCCAGATGAGGTCAAGGTTTTGTTTTTTCAAAGTGACTTTAAGCAGAGACAACAACATTGTAACAATTTTTTTTTTTTTTAATTTACTCATTTTTTTTAAAACCCTGCTTTGTTTTTTGGGATTCCATTGAGTCAGGCATTACAGTTGTTATGTCTGTTAACATTTGCTCAATCAAATGACAGCAGTATTTCTGTCAACAACTGTAGCACAGACAGATCACCTTTATTGTACTGTACGCAGACTGGTCATGCTTATTTGACACAGTCAAAAAGTCTGATATATTCTGAAATAACATGAATCATAACCCAAGTCCTTATGAAGGTAATGCCACAAAAAGAGAAACAGACAAACAAAAACAAGGCAAAACAACAACAACAGTTATAATCTTTATATATATGAAATTAACTTCTGCTCAGACAAGTGAAGCAACTAAATACATAAAAAGTCATATTCACTTACTTATGTGGATTTCCTGCTGGCTGGTGTAGTCTATAGCTAAGCCAAGGGGCAAAGTGTCTTCATTTGTTTCAGTCACTGGAAGCTCAGCCCTGCTCGAATCTTCTAGTTGCCAAATTTCCCACATCTAAAAGGGGTAAAAATAAGGCATGGTCATCACCATTTACAGAGAGTAAGTATTCATACAAAATCCAAGGAAAATTAATAGATTTGGGGGGGCGGGGGGTATTTACAGTTTCTAAAAGCATCAAGTCTAATTCACTAAAACGCTGAAGCACTCAGATAAAACTATTGGTTTACCTAATTGATAAAAATTCAGCAAAAGCACAAGCTTGCTCAACTGTCACCAAAAAAGTCAGGTAAGCATTGGATATTTGCCCTGGTGGGAGCTTAGCTAATCTAAATTATTTAGAAGGAAAGTGTTGTGACTGAGTAGAAGCTGCTGTAACACTTATACAACCCTCCTCGATTTTTTGGAAGCATTTTATTTTAACCGAGTAAAACAAACAGATGTAAAGACAAAGTAGAAAAATGACAATACATTCAAGACCACTTTCATTTATCTCTACATTTAGACAAACCTAAAACGTTTTCACACATTTTAGCGTTTACCTTATCGTCTTGTCTGGCAATGACGCTGACCTCAATAGAAGCTGCTGATGCTGCAAACACAAGGTCCCTGGATGAAAGAAAAAAAATAAAATCAATGAGACAAAGCTTCAATTTACCATGACCTTAACATTAAACAAAGCGCAAAACTTTCAGGGCATAAACAATGCATTTTAGTTTATAAGTAATCAGGCTTTCGGGTCACTGTTGGAGCAAATCTGTCAGTTGGGATCAGTCTTACCAGTCCTCTACGTGACTGAGGAAGTAGTGGTGCTGACGCTCCGTACAGCTTCCAAAAACAAATTCACCAAAGTTCAGAAACTTTGGCTCCACTTTCTCATCCTTCTTCTGTAAAATAAATAAATAAATGAATGAATGAATAAATCTAGAGTAGAGAAGTGGCATACTTCAGTAGCACTGTAATTTATGTCAAAAATTACAGAAAAAGAACCCCAATATGCATACAGTAATTTATGTGCATTAACCTGTCAGCCAGTGACATCAAACTGTGTCTCAGGGTTGGGTTTTTTTGTGCTAAATCTGCTTTCTGTTAAACAAATTTAAGGGGGATGAGTGGGCCTCAAGAGTCTTGGTATACAGACTGTAAAGCTGTCTGACACACATACAAGTCTGAGCTTTATAAATAAAACTGATTGGACATTAACACTGTTAAAATGCTTTTAGCTACCCATGCAAAACAGGTGCAGCAATTTATTGGAACATCTGCAAACAGAAATGGAAATACAGCATATAACACACTTTGTACAATTTTAACAAGCTTGAAGGTTTACAGTTTGGTATTACCACCTTTATTCTTCATCACAGCCTGAACTCTCTGATGTAGTCTTTCTTGTAATTTCTTTAACCTCCTAGGACCTGGCGTCCATAAATATGGACATCACATTTTGGGTTGTCTAGACCAAAATACTACATTTTGCTCTACAAGGGCCTGATATCCACTTACGAGGACATTATACTGCCACTGTTCTACTGAAATTTTAAACAAATATGCTCATATGTGGATCTCATTTTCTCAGAAACAAAAATTAAGTAAAAAAAAAAATCTGGTAATTCTTTGTTTTTACATTCATCAGGTGCTAATCAGTCCAAATATCAAAGAGAAATTAAAAATGCATGCCATGGAAGAGTTCGGGTCTTAGGAGGTTAAGTAGTCGCTTAAAGGCCATTTAAAGCTCTTCTTTGGATGTTGGTTGCATTTTGTTAAATTGTCTGTTAAGATGATCCTACACTGTTAATGGGCACTGAGGAGGTCAATCCATGACTGATACAGTGTTGCCTTTTTCAATTTACACACAAACACATTCCTCTGAAAATGGTCAGATACAAGGACTGGACAGGAAAAAACAAAATAGTGGAAAAGCAGCCAATGTCCAAAGAAAAACCTTGAAATACCTTCAGAGAGCCTCCATAGCGCTTTCTCTATCATTAAAAAAAAACTACAAGTGTAGCTGACTGGAAGCAAAATATGAAGAAATGACTGGTGACTCAAGACTTTTGCACAGTAGTGTAAATATGAAAAGAAAGCACAAAAGCCCAATTATGGTCAAAGCACTGGTCACTGCATGCACAGCTGTGATGACATCAGAGCACCAGAACTACATGCACTGAAACCTAAGGGAAGCCTAAGAAATAGATAAATAAATATATCACAGATTCATAGGAATAAGCAAGTTTTTTGTTTTAAATCTTTGTTTCTACCATCTGGAAATCTATGTTCCTTCACAGATGTTTCATAGAAATGTCTCCACTGACTGACCCACTTGCACTCACATGCCTCCAGACTAGTTGTGCCAGGCATACAGGGATACTGTATGCAAAAATGCTGTGAAGTTTCTTTTGGTAATCATGGCTGCCAATGGCAACCATTGAAAACAATCGACACTGTTATTCTTTGCTTTTCTTCTGTGGTCATTTTCTCTGCACTGAAACATTTCTGTATTAATCCCTGTTTAATTATTAAAACCTGTATAAAGCTCTGGAGGCATAAAACACTAATGATGAACAATCAGATGTTCTGATGATCAGTTTGCTGGATCATTCCTGCTCTCTTTCACTTCATGTGTGGATGATGTGAATATTTCTGAATAAAGATGACTGTGATCAAACGACTTGTAGATTTTCAGACTTAAAAGCAGCTCTAATGAATTCCTAACCATAATCTAAATGTATTTACATCAAGCATAAATACACAAATGTGGTTGTAAACAATGTTTAAAAACTGCTGTGCATTTATATTTTAAGTATAAACTGAACTGTTACAGTTTGAACCTGGATTATCTTTTTCACACACTTCACAGATCAATAACTAATCTGCTAGATACACGTGTTTAACTCTGTTACTTACATTGTTATCACTGTCAAGTTACTGATAAATAAATAAATTTTAAAATTTACGTGATAAAACTTAGAAACGCAAGCAAGGAAAATTCAAGTTTGGTAAAAGATGAAAATGTGGATAATAAATTTAACTCTCCATAACTGAGCTGCAGTGATGATTTTTTTTCCCCCGATACCCATGAATGGTCTTAACTGAGCTTCATACTCTGATCAGCAGTTCGACCGTAGAACCAGTCTGTTAAACCTGATAAACCCAGATAAAAATCTATCTAAAAAACGATGCCTGGCATACTTACAGGGAGTGAGATCAACACTAGCTCAGGGGGGGTCTCAAGTGAGCCATCTCCAGCAGCATATGCTACTGCAAACACATAGGTTTTCAGCCACAGCACATCCACAGCTGTGAGAGACAAATAGGAAAGAGAGACAAGACAGTGGAACATCAACAAAACAGCAAGACTCAGCTCCTCCTTTTCCTATACAACTTGAAATATTTTATGGAATCACTGCAATCTATTACTAATCTATCACCACCAAGATAAAAACCTTAGTGTATGGACCATTTTCATAGTTTAATTTTATATACATAGGTATGGCTACCTTACCTTTTACAGTTTCGCCAGGGGTGAAGAACTGTGGACATGGGATAACTTTCTTTTCCTCCAGTCCCTTTAGAACAGAGGAAAAAAATCTGTTCCTGTAGCTTCCAAAGACTGTTAAGCAATTTGCTTTTAATTCAAAATTCTTATTATTATAACTTACTGGTGTATATTGTGTGACTGTACCATCCAATTTTCCAGCTGCAACTTGCTTTCCCTTTGGACTCCAGCAAACTGTGGTAAACAAAGCAAGTAAACAACTACTGAACCACATCAGCGATATGGACTACAGATAAATTTAGCAATTATGTCAAGAGTGTCACTCACTGCAGGTAATTCCACTTGAAGAAGGCAGCCTGGCCTGCACATTGACACTGTCAGTAACATCCAAAATCATTATAGTGCCATCAGAGAGGCAGACAGCCAACACAGACACCTGCGCAGGATTCCACTTCAGGTCCTGCACTAAGACGTCAGGTGCTACAGCTGGCTGGTGGGATGCAAATGGTAGCTTCTGTAGTTTTCCCTGGAAAAGCAAGGAATGCAAATTAAAACAAATATCAGACAACATGATTACATTTAACAGACAAGGTGAAATCTGGCAACAGGTGTTCGACTGTGTTAGCACATTAGGTAGACAGACTGAAATAACTACCTTGTTCATGAATGTGCGGACATCATAGAATGTGAGCGACAAGCCAGCTTCCTCAGACATGCCACACACGGATAGTGTGAGCTCATCACAACTGAGAGCCACGTGGTGCAAAATTAGTTCCACGGTCACTTCAGTCAGTGCTGGTATTCCTTTGACTAAAATAGGGAGGAAGATGTTAGTGGACAGTGAAACAGCAAAAATTATTAATGACATGAAACATGTGGTGTATCAGTCATGACAACATTGTGTTTTTAACCTGTCATTATTGCACTATTTAAAACGGCAGTGTATTCATACCTATTTCGTTGGAGTTGCCATCACCTTTATCAGCAGCCAGAATATCTCGAGTTAAGTACACCTTGAGAGTTCTGTCAAGCCCCACAAAAGTTAAGCCATATTTATTTGAGATGGCAAGGAGGCTGGATCTGTCTTTTGGCAAATCTTCGGTGGGGTCAAACACTCTGACTTTCTTCATCTGACGAAACTGAAAATCCTAAAACGAAAGGCAAACACTTTCATTTCATGGTGACCTATTATGAACTGTTAACAACTGTGGGCCCACTTCGGTAAATGCAAACGCAGCGTCTTCGAGACAGAATAATACACACTTTAAATAAACATTGTTTACAAGATAGCTGGTGAGCCTGAAGGGTGATCTCAAAGCCAAATGTTTGTAATGCCTCTCAATTAGAACTATGCTAACACGTTACCATATCGTGTTAGCTATCGGTGCAAGGCTTGTTGTAATGTTACAGCAATATATAAAACTTCAACAAAAAATGCAATGTGTGTTAGAACACGTTATTTTACAAATGGATTAATTTAATAGGACGAATCCACCCAACACAGCGGCGTTTAGCTTTACAAGCGCAACATCACACCGGCTACGGTGCTAACCCTAAGTAGCGGGCTAAAATATGGCATGAATAAAACTGCAGTAACTACTTTTAATTGAAACGCTTTTAAACCGCTGTGAAAGTCTTTAATGTTTTATCGTATCAAAGTAGTCATTACAGTTCAGTAAATATCGTGAGGATAAGGATACCTAAACCAGAAAACATACCCACGACAAGTGGCTTGTTTAGCTAACCAGCTAGCTAAACTAGCCACTACATTAAGGATGAACTGACACGGTAACTTACACATGCTAACCTGTCAAGTCAACTTTAACAGAGACATACCTTCATTTCCCTCTCGGGAGGGGAGTCCGCATCGTCACTCATTGTGAGATTTTGAGGGTTTTTCTTCCAAAAGACCTGCTGTGTTCGTTTATTTCTTGCTAGTATGTACCACAGAAAGTTTTGGTTAGCTACATCAGGACAACTAAACACACGCCGCGGGATTTTTCCCGTAGAAAAAACAAAAACCAGCTAGGATGACGAGTAGATACCAGAGCAGCTTGAGAGAACACGAGCTCATACAGTCGAGTATGTTTAAGAGTTGCAATTAAAGGGTGATTTATCTAGATATAATTATAGGTATATATTTTACCCTTTTAATAGTAAGTAAAAAAAAATGCATAAAAGTTATGTTTGTGTGTGTGTATACAAAAACATAACTTTTATGCATTTTTTTACTTACTAGTAAAAAGGTCACACTTTTTACAGTAATAGAATAGCATTTTTTCCACCAACAAAGTGATTTCCATGAGTGATTAACCAAAACTTATAAGTGTTGGCTAATAGTTAATCTACAATTCTACTGTTCGAAGCTTCAGCATAAATTATCTAAATGGACTGGTGGCTATCAGGGAATGGAATAAAAGCCAGCAAAGGAGAGCTCTGATTGTCCTTTAAGGATCCTGGAGAGCTATCCTTGAAGACTAGTTCAGGAATTTACAAGAGTTCAGGCTGTGTTCGAGGATAAAAGTAGTCATACCAAATACTGACTTTCAATCTTGTTAGAGTTGAACACATTCTTTCACCTCACATACTATATAATCATGCATGTTTCAATAAACTGCTGCATCTTCAGTCTTTCTCATTTTCATAGCAAAATAAATTTTAAAAAATTGAAAGAATGAGGGGTAGTTTAATAAGAGCCCCCCCCCCCCCATACATATAAATATTTATATATCATAGATGAAATGCCTAGGTTAATATGGTTGATTTGGATCAATCCAGTGTTGCCTGCAATTCTAAACCTGTGCCTTCATGAAATAAAACTGGCTGTATACTGTATGTTACATTCATCTTTGAAGGAACTCCAGTGACTCATCCAGCAAAATTTAACACCATTTTAATGACACAAGAATTTCACAGCTCTGTGGCACAGACAGTGAGAATTATTATTGTCACTAATTTGTCTTCTTTCTGCTGGAATCTCATTACTTACATGTTTGAAGCCATGCAGATCTACAATAAATCGCAACTTCCAGAGAAAAATATATTTCAAGTGCATCCTTTTGTAGGTACTTTGCCAAATGCAAAGAGAGACAAAAGACAGTATATGGTGAAGTAAGGACTTTTATTAGAAAGCAGATTTTTCTGTATTGCATTTAAAGAAATTGGGTACTCTTGGACTATACAACTTAAAACTGGTGATGGCAAATATGATGGGAATGAAAGGTAGATTACATCAAAAGTGGCAACTTGCATTTCTGTTGTATATATTATTGATGCTTGAGTCAGAAGGCGCATAAACATCTTTTTCATTTGAAACATAAAGCGGCATCAACACTGAAATTGTCCCATCCCAGTTTGCCTGATCCAAACCCAGCTGATAGTGAAGAACATTACCATGATCGGTGTAGGGTTGTTGTCCATCAAAGGGGGTTATCAACAAAACCTGGGCTCAGGACCACGTCCAGAACATGCTTACCAGAGCATGACAGATATGGTCCGTGTCCAGCTCTGTTTGCAAAGCACCAAGGTTTGACTCAGTCCTGGTTTTAAAGACACACTTATAACCAAGAAGGCTGGAGATAACATCACCATGTCCCTCCACTCTGGAAAGGAAGCTAACACAGACCGAAGCAAGCTGAAGAAAGACAAAGCAAACAGCAAGAGCACATAGCAAGTCATACCATATGTCCCATAGTGCACTTTGGGTCTCGTTCCTATTCTGATTGTCAGCGCTCTGAACACATGGCTTTAAAAGTTGCATTTACTCCTCATTTGCCTAACACCCGGTTGCTCTCAGTGTTTTTCCTTTCACCTTTCCAAGTAGTTCTAAAGTGCTGGCATTATGTACAAGGACACGTAAATACACAAACAAACCTTCAGTGCATTTTCTTCTGAGTGTGCTGAGCTTGAACACACTGAACTGTGTACTTAGTCTCTGTATTCCACTCTTTGTCACTACTTTGCTGTAATACAAGAAATTCAGCTTTATGCAAACATTCAGCGAAAGGCCAGGTTGTATAATAAAAAAATCCAGCCCTGCTCACCACAGGACACCTCGATCTTTGTTTACTAACAGTGACAAGAGTTATTCAGCATAAAATACATGGTGCATAAAGATCAGAGGTTTCATTGGGTTGCGGTGAGTGTGCGAATGGCATGCATTTTATGGTACAAGTGTCTCTTTGCATATAAATGTATTGTTTTTCATGATGAGCCAGTCACTGGAACAAAAAACTACAGTGTCCGTGTGGGGGTGAGCAGAGCCCGATGCAAAGTGAGGAAGAAGTTATTTGCAACAAAATACCCTCTATTCAATAACCATCCAAGAAAAACAAAAAGTTTGATATAAATGAGAAACACGTCCGATACATAACATACATGTAACTGGACTTTTCTCTTTTGGCCACTTCAATCTTCCCAAGGGTTAGCCATGACATTCTCCGTTTATAGTGCAACATCGTTCATTTACCCTGCACAAGAAAAGGATCAAACCCCAAGCGGTCTTAAAGGATTATTGTTCTGTTTTGGGGTTTTTTGATGGCTTCGTTTTGCAGCGGGGCAGAAAAAGTGAATGAGCTGGTCAAAGCCGGCGCGTGATAAGGAAATCGTGCATAAAAAAAAAGAAAAATAACCCCCCCCAAACAACAACAACAAAAGCCCGCCACACCTTAAATGTGACTAACTGATGAACAGGTTTGACTATACTTGACTATACTACGAATGAGATTTCATTTGAATTTCTTCCAAGGGTGTTCAACCAGATTCCTTAAGAGCTGTGCTGTAAATATGTAATACTGGGCTGGTGAGCCAACATGATGGAAAACATAAAACAAGAATGTAAGGTGAATAAATGACTATGTTATTAATATCATTTATTAGAATAAAAGATTACTAGTTTTTAATTTTAAACTCGAAAATGGCCAAAAAAAAAAGTGTTATCTGGCTATATTTAGTAGATCCTTGGTCCTGTTTGCTTCTGAACACAAAGTAATGGCACGCATCCACACCCACACATTCACAGTCTAAGGCACTGCTCCACACCCCTTTAATACTACAGTGGAACATATCCATGTTTCCCACCCATTATTATTTACTGCTTTATTTTAATTGCAGCTGATTTCATATTCCTCATGTATTTAGTATCTCTGCGAAAGTCCTCCTATTCAAAAAGATCAAAATCAAAGATTTATTTTACACAAAAACACACAGAGAGAAATATTAAATACAAAGAATATCACAATCATTGTCCAGTTTACTAACTGAGTAGAAAGGTTTCTCTCACTCTCTCTTTTTTCCTGAAGCTATAACAGCTACTTTCTATATTTTCCAAAATAAAGGCTACACATATTCATTTCTCAAGTCTGTTACTCTGACTGGCATAACCAGAAGTGATCAGACATTTAAGTGGCTCAAATAGACAACTGAATATTGTTTTCTTTTTTTACTGCGAGAAAAACCTGTAAGAATCATAAACATATGATATGAAGGTACAATTTGCAAAATCTCTGTGTTAAAAAAACGTCAAACAGAGGGGAAAAAAAGCCTGCACTGCATGTGAACCTTGCTCAGTTTTGCACATAACGATGTTCACTACACTGGAAGACCTGTTCGCAGTTTGAAAAAAAAAAAAATCACTATATCAATAAAGCTTTAGGTTTAAACACCACCCAGCCTCACAGTCGGTATTAATTTTATATTATGGCATATTTTGAAGAATTTACTATACTCAAATCAAAGCTTGGACCCTCACCACAGCAGTGCTACAGATTACATTCATCCATCATCCCAGCCATCGTGTCACAGTCTTGTTTTATCTACGGCTGATCGCACTTATTCCCAAAGAAAATAAACGCGCTATAAACCTTTTTGTTACTACCTAGTGCAATCGTAACCCTGTGTTTCTTGTGCAGGGCCATCTTAAAACTTCCCCTAACAGACGCTGAAACAAGAGCAGAAACAGAGACTACTCTGGCCCCGCTCATGAAGTGGCACAGCATATATTTTGAGAATAGTATTAGTACTAAGCCTGGCAGTTCTTAAATTAACCTATCACAACCCACTTTCCCCCAAATGTTGGTGGCTTCTCTTTTACTTAAATGAACGGTCTTTTCTGTGCTTTCGTTTGCTGATAGGGGGAAAAAAAAGATACAGGGAAGATCTATGCATTGCACAATGAAGAAAGGCTGTGTGGCAAAAAACAGATATCAAAAGAAGAAATCAGGTATGACGAATGCAGGTTTAAAGTCCCTGTTGGACATTGCTTTGCTCCCCCCACCCCCCTTCCAAAACGTAGAAACAGTCATTGTCAGAGAGACTCGTTTCAGGTGTTGTCGTTACAGCCTCTCAGTTAAAAAGGTCCACGTTACCTCCCTCAGCGTCTCGGCTCTTTACCTTCTTTTGAGTGCAAATGCAATAAGCCAGCATAAATTGCTCGTATAAGTTTGATTCAATAATTTACCCACCCACCCAAAGAAAAAAATGAACAAACAATAAAACAAACAAACAGCCAGGTAGGAAGCAGGACTGCGTAGTATCGGTGCATATCACACCACCACCACTACATCACCGAGGTGGAACAGTGCTTCTCTCTAACATTCGTTCTTCTACCGCCCAGTGTAGTGCACTTCTTTACTACTCCATATATCCAGTCTCCTCTGCTCATGGGCACAGCACACTCTTTAGTTTAAAAAAACAAACAAACAAAAAACAAATAAAACAACAACAACAAGAAATTCCAACTGTTACTGTGTAAATCCTGGGTCACAGCCGGATCAGTTCTAACATGCGTCAGACTGCGGTCAGGTCCAGCGGGAAACGGAGAGAGTCCTCTTTGAGCATTAACAGCGTATCTCGAGGCAACGGCAGCTGTTATCTTATTTCAATGCAGGTTTGTGGCTTTGTTGGTGGTTTTTTTTTTCCCGAGAATTCTTTGTTTCTTTCCACTGTTTGTATGAATGCATGCAAGCTCGGATTTTTTCCTTTCTCTCTCTCTCTTTTT